AAATATAATAGCATTTCAAAGCATTGGTGTCCTGAGCTGCCCCTTAGGGAACAAGGAAAGGCTCAGTCTAGTGACTGAGTAAGGGATTGGGATTCAGGATGTCCTCAGTTCTAATACAGGTTCACCATGTGGTCTTTGGACTGTGACCCTGTTGGGTTCAATTCTAGTGGAAATACCAAGACTGACCTATATCAGGGATGTTGTGAGGCTTTAACGTTTGTGAAGTACCTTGCAGATTACAAATGCTTGTTAAGTGCTTGGTATTTTTGCATTCACCTGTGGCAATTACAAAGGGCTCAAAAGGAATCTTGACTCTGGCTCATTTTTGTCTTCATGTCTCTGTGATATTGGATTTCATAAACCTCATATCCATCTGCCACTGAAGTGATAGCACAATGAGTTTGAGTACTAAAGGCTGCCTGAGGGCTGGACCTGGAGTTTGCTAAAGTCATCAGTCATCTCTGGGGTGATTTATGAAGTGGTATATTTGTACTGAAATGTACCCTCACCAATGAATTGATTGACTGCAGAATCCCATGCCATCTTGGGGAAGTTGGGAGTGGGAACAAACTTGATCTTATACAGCAAAAAATTACTTGAGAGAAGCATAGTAAATGCTACTAGTAAGCCAATAGAAGTCACTGTTTGGTGACACAGCAACTCTAATCTAGTTCCTGTCCAGTAGGATAGGAGTCCACACACAAAATCCACCAATGGAACTGGTGACCTACCAAGCAATGGGGTGAGGGAGGAAGGGTGGGGAAAACAGCCAAGAAAATATTGAACCTACTGATTTAAATTATGTGAATGGTGCCCAAATACCACTGTGATCAGGGCCTTAAAAACATATGTGGTAGTTAAATGAACTGGTTTGGTCAACAGAAAGCCCAGGGCATAGCACAGCATGACACACTCATCCTAGAAAGGGTCCGAGCCCTGTGGAAGGAAGCATGCAATGCCCGGTAGCTGAGCTGGACCTACAGCTTGGCTGGGCAGAGAATGGTATCAGGTCTAAATGCAGTTGTATCCTATAGCCGGAGGCAGTTGCTCAGCCCTGTGTTCTGCAGTCAGAGGTCTCAAGGGACATGGCTGCTGGCAGACAAAAGGACCCATACCACAACTTGCAAAGGAGAACAGATTTTTTAATTATTATTGGAGTGCAAACTATGCTAAGTGATCACATGAACTAGCACAGAATACATGTCAAACTGCAAAGTGTTGCTGGTGTACCTAAGAAAAGATAGCTGTTTTGCTGACATAAAAGTGCTTCTGTCAGCTCCGTTGATTTAGGGAAGTGTTATAGCTATGCCAGCAGAAAAACGCTTGCTGTCATCATACACTGTAGAAGGCACTGCATAGCCGTAGCAGCAGTGTCCCTGTAGGACAAACCCTGAGAGTTGGAGTGCCTCTGGGAATGGAGTCTTCTGATTCTGTGTCAGTAGCTTGAAGCACACCAGCTCAGTAATGCCAACAGTCAATACCATCTGAACTCTGTTCAGTGGCCTATATCAAAACAGCTGGCAACCTTGTTCTAGCTTCTACCTCTCAGATGTCTCCTTCATAAGCACTCCTGGGTTTTATAATGCTCAGGCCATAAACCACACTACTCTTTAAGAGGAAGATCCCAGCCTCCCCTCTAGTTCTGCCTCTTGGCAAGGAAGCAGCAAGTGCTATGAAATAGGAAAGAACCCTAATAAAAAGTGAGGCTGAGGCAGATCCTTCTGTGAGCAGCTCCCAGGCATCAAGGAAAGCAGGAGTGAGTTAATAGTGTGCATACTGCAGAGCATGGAGGGAGCTGTCACTTTTGATGTGAGCTGGCGAGACAAGGCCTCCACATTCATCCAAATGACTTCTTTCCTCTTCAGTCGGTGTAAATGAGCCCTGGCCAGAAAGCAAGAATTCTGTTTCATGAAAAAAATGGAGATTTTGGAATTTGTTTTCATTCCATGTTGGAAGGAAACCGCGACCTTTCCAGTGTGTGTGTGTGTGTGTGTGTGTGTGTGTGTGTAGGTGAGAGAGAAACCTGCAGAAAAGCCTGTAGCACAATGGTTGGGACTCTAATCTAGGATGGGAGATGTTTTAGCTTGTGTCTATGCTCTACCTGATTCTTTCTTTGAGAAAACAGCTTCAGTGCATGCATATGTGTGTGAGAGCACACTATTGTAGGACTCGGGACATGTAAGGCCCCACATTCAAGTCCTGAGTACGTGCAGGAGTTCACCTCACTTGGTCTATGATCGTGCAGCCCACTTTAAGCCATGTGACTGTAGGTTGGGAGCGGCATGTGCACATGTTGCTGGTGTCAGGAGCCTTACCGGGAACCTGGTGTAAGTAACCTGGGGTAAAGGGTAGGGCTACTTATTTCTTTTTTTGGTGGGGGGAAGGGATTGGTGGGATCAGGGGAGCTGGTGGGTCTGCAGATGGAGTTGGTGAGTCCATTTGGGAGGTTGTCTATCTGGGGGTGGCAGGTTTGGGGGCTACAAATAGCTTGGTCAGAGTTGTGGAGAAAAGAAAAACACAGCCCTGGGACTGGGGTGAGCAGCTGGGTTTTCCCAGCCCTAGGGTTGCACCCTGACCATGAACCTCTTCACGTGAAATGATATAGATTAGGCCCACTGTTTTTTGCCTAATTTTTAGGTCAATCTAAATGTAATGTCTGCACTCCCCTACATGGTTTGACTAGAAGTTTAATTCTGGGCCTGTCGCATCTTCCCAGTGAAATGTCCATGATAACTGATCAGCTTCCTTGAACAGTTTTGAGTTCAAGAAGCATTTTCCAAAAATATACAAGCAGACAACTTTTTCACAGAAAAATTCCTGACCATTTCCACATGCAGCATGTTCCTTTATTCAGCTTTGGGGATGTTGGAGGAAAAAAGCTCCCCCAAAAGTTGTGCTAGAATCTAAATGTCTTGTGTGATCTAATTGCCAAGTTGTGCTCCAACTTGGGCAGCTTTCCCCAGGCTGGATCTGAGGAAGTCAGCAAGTAGCAATTTGGCAAAACATCTCCTCCTTGCATTTTCTTTGTAGCATCCCAGTGTAGCCAGTGCCAAACATGGAACTATTATGAGTCAGGCCTTCAAAAAAATGAGCTTGGCTTAAAGGTCATAAAATTTAAAAAATAATAAATGTGGGGGTTCCATGTAGAAGCACAAAAAATAGGACTGGAAGGGACTTCCAGAGGTCATCTGGTCCAACCCCTTGCCTGAAGCAAAGGATTATCCCTTTCCAAACCATCCTATGCAAATCTGCTGTCTAACCTATTAGCAAAATTACACAGGAAACCCTGACACAACCCCAAGACATAACACTAACCTGCCACAGGGAAAGAAGGAGGACCGTGGTCGCCAGTTATATTTGTCTTCTCCTTTTTAAGCCTGTGAGAGTCACTTTACCAAGGTTTCTATGCAACCAGAGGGCTAGAAATGTATTGGGTTTGTTTTAAATGAAAACTGAGATGCTCACACCACCATCTGACTTCAGGGGAAGGTGCTTTAAGAAAAACACCAGAATCACTGGCAACACTGTACCTGCAACTGGCTCCTCTTTTTCTCCCACTACTTCCATGCCTCCAAATTATCAACCTGGCTCCTGGACATTACCTATGGCAAAGAGGCCCCATTGTTCTGCCTTCCTGTGGGTTGACCAATTGGCAGGTAGTTATCAGTGCATTGTTAGCCTGCATCACTGTTTAGCAAACTTCTTCCACCCAGAGCAGGACCACTTCTTCAACTGTTACCCTTCTCTAAAGGAGTGCTGCCAGAAACTTTTCCTCACTAATTCCCTAACCTGGCATTACAGATGCTATTGGAAGCAACTAAGTGCAAATAGGCCTGAATCTGAACAGCAAATCCAACCCGCCCAATCCCAACATTTGTCCCAAGCCTTAGGACAATTCAGATCCTTTGAGACCCAAGCCCATCTGTACAATGGCCAAACTGGAACCCCAGTCCTGAACCTCCCTGACATATTGGGAATGTATTCCCTGCCTGGCTTGCACAACTTTGGGTCATCTCTTATTTTCAGGTTATATACCCAGAAAAATGGGAAATTTCCTGAGACTGAAGAAATACACAGCTCATCAGTCAATGTGAATAACCCCATTCCTCCACCTTTTCACCCCATGGTCTCAGGCAGGCAAGGGGTTAAGAATTTCAGTAGGAAGAATCCACCTGAGCTGCAATCACCTTCAGCCGTGTGTCCTCAGACAGTGGCTATGAAAAGGAGGGAAGAGGTAGGCATGTGGGACTTTGTTCTGTTGGGTGCAGAGGGGGAGGAAGGGACTCATGCTTTGTCCTGTCATAGGAGAAAAAGCGTTCTGTTAGCTGGAGGGTGTTGAGGAATATGGGAGCTTATGCAAGCAGAACGTTCTCTCTGCATTTAGGTGGAGGCAGTGAAGCTCTCAGATGCTGAAGCCTTGGGGTAGACTCCGCTTGTGAGAGAAAAGTGATATCGAGGGGGTTGTTCGTGATGGACCGTTATAAGAGGAGTGAGTTTGTTTAGTAACTGCTGAAAGAAGGGTTTTGCATTACTAGCCTGGAAAGAGAGTGCTGTACCTGGATTGGAAAGCAAAGGAGTGCCTTAGGATGGTGCCATGGAAGGGGAGAGCCTGTTTGTTTCACCTGTATCTCATGGGTCTATTGATCTAATTAACCTGCTTGATCCCTGAAACTGCAGATTCTTGAGGCATCTGATCAGTGTTTTTTATGCTCCAGGGGTATAGCCAACCTCAGGCCCTCAAAAATCAAGGGAGTGGCTTAAAAATTCTGTTTTCTAAAGAATGAATGCAGTTTGGATATTCACTGCTTGTCTTCTGGTTTCTGAGCCTTGAGATTATACTGGCTTCATGCTTTCAAGGGTCTCTCCATGGAGGGCTAGCAACTTGCTTTCTTCTGATCTAAATGAAAGCTGTGATCTTTCTGTAGTCTCTTGATTTCAAGAGCTAAACGTTTTAAGAAATGCA